GTTGCCAGAAGCCATCGGGTAGCTGTGGCACTGTCCGCGGTTGACTGGTGGTGCGAGAGGTCTATTGCCGAGTAGGTCTCACACTGCAGGGCTCGGGCTTGGAGGTGCAAAACCCCTCTGCCAGCGACGCGACCCTCCGAAACTGTGCATGTTGTGTTGCTAGGCGGTGCGAAACCCCTCTGCCAAAGCGACGAATGAGACTTACTAACCGGGTGTATGATCCACACTCTCACCTCCCGCGTGTGGGAGCCGCTAGCCGTCGGCTGGTGCTATAACTCGGGGAACGTGCGCTTTGCGTTTTTACGGGTAGCCGCTACGGCGGTGTAGGCCAGTCGGCGTCGACACGGAACCACGACCGCGGAGTTGTTGCTAGGCGGTGCGAAACCCCTCTGCCAGCAACTCGACCCTCCGAAGCTGAAGGAGGCATCACAAATAGTTAGACTCAGTGGGTACACAAACGTGGCCCGTATATAGTAAATAGTCTAATGCATCGCTTGTTATCTACTTTTCTCCTAGAGTATGGTGGCTTGGTTGCCTCTGACATGGCTGTTGCTGACACGATTCCAACAGTGCTTTCATTTTGTTGCGTCCCTCTGAAGTCGGCGTGCACCCTGCCGGGGATCCTCGTGGTCTCTCTGGGAGCAGGTGTGTGACCCCAGTCCTCATGGCGCACTTTGCAATGTTGTACTCGGCAATCAGTTCAGGACAGCCATGGAGGAGACAGCTGGGTCCATTTTACCCTAGTGGAAGAGCAGCCATGGCTACACTTACTTTTTAACGTGTCTTACTTATGGGTGTAGCCTACTGTAATGGGGCTCTTGACAATTGAGGCCTGTTCCGAACAGATTTGTAGAACGGTAAATTAAGAGCTCCGGACATAGCAAATTCTGTGTCGAAATCTACCATCTCTCTGACTCCTATGCTTTGTCATCCTGGTAAAGAGTAGCTGTGAAATGAGATGGTATAGCTCTCATCTAAATATGGTAATTGCAAGGTATTAGACCTTCTCCTAAGCAGTAGACAAAACCTATTAACAGAACATCGAAAACCGTAAACTAATCTATCAGCAGGCCTACAGTACTTTTCTACTTTAGCTTTTACTTAGTCGATAGGGTAGTTTCCACGACGCTGGCGCCCTTTTCTCGGTCCGTTTGTCAATAATGAGTGACATCACTGGCTCACAATAAATACCGGTGTTTGTGTTCAAATTTGGCAGTTCCCTGACGCGTGGTGATCGACAATCCTTACCACATGGACAATTGCCGAGCCATATGTGACCCCGATGGCCCTGTTTGGACTGGTAAAAAGGGTTGGTGGGTCTCGTTCCCAGGATACTTGTAGGATCGGGGTCTGGCTTGTGGTGAATAGTCAATGAGCTTAGTGCGAGTGAAACCATTTTTCCAGAATATTGGTATTCGCGGCTATCAGTCGAAATTCATGCCTGAACGAAGTGATTTGTGCTCTGCAAATAAGGCTCTCTGGCTAGATCTGCGGCGCTACCATAGTGTGTCAGGATTGAAAGCAATAACGATTTTGAGGTTGCTGCTGGAGGGTTCTAGCAGGAGCGTCAAAATCTGTTAATGGAGTTGCATTGGTTGCACTTTCACTCTCATGTACGTAAGTTTTGTATATGTATCTGGTGCACTTATTGGTGGCCACCAACTAAAGCCAACGTTGTTGACAGAACCGATTAGTTGTGATTTCAGAGTTACCCATTTTGTAGCTTTTGGCCCGCGAGTTAATTCTCGACTCCGTGGGTTTTGTTTCAAATTTTGTGATAATGCTTCGAAAGTCAACTTGATGGCAGCTTGGAAAGATCAAGTTTAAATTAAACCTCAAAAGAGTCGACAAGATGAAGAATCTGTTGATTCTGATCATCGCGCATCACCTATTTTGCACCACGAGAGCTGCGAAGTGTGGGATATATAGTCCTTGTAAATTTTGCACGTTAAATACGTGGGATTCGAGACTATTTCGGAGGATTTTAAGGTGCATCACGAGAGTTGCAAATCACGACAATCTGTACTCTTAATGTGAGCGTGTCTATTTTTCCGTCTATTGAAATTCCCTGTTGCTAAAACATGTTTAAACACTAAATATAATGCTTACACATTCCAATGTTTTGCTCTCATAAACTGAATCTGAACGTAAAATAAAGCTGTCGACGAGGTTATTGTCCTTGAGTGTATGACACGTCAAGCAATTTGGGTGCAACAACTTTTGGGCCAACGGTCTCGAACCAGTCTTAGCTGGAATTGTATGGTGAGTCACTGTATCAGACGTTGTAGGCTAGTCGAAACAATTCCATCGACCATAACAGAGCTTCGTAAACAAGGGTGGAGTAACGCTAGTTGAAGTCATAGACATGTTGTCCTTAACATTTAACGCGCCCTCTGTATTAGTGACCCCTCATTGGGAAACCAGCACACCAATTACGTGTAACTACTCGAAAAACTTATTAGTCACACCAGCGGTTATTACGCAGACACATTACTGGTAAAATCACAGAGTGGAGTGTGGTGCTTAGCCTGTGACAGCTCAAGCGATTGAATTTGAGTCTGGCTATATGTCCTGCATATAATACTTCGCGTCAGCCAGTGACAATCACTTCGTTTACGATCGCCAGGCGACATGCGTTTCATCAGTCCTTGAACTCGAATAGTTCTAATTAAAGTAACTACAAATCTACTCTTTACATTCACTTTTGAAGAGAGGTTTCCGAGTTGTTTTTTTTAAGTTATGTACAGTCTGCATATAATGCACCGCGCAGCTCGTCAAAAACTTCGGCTAATTTTTTCAAAAAAAAAAACAAAAAGTTTTTGTTGTTCAGTTCTAATTTCTTGAAAATTGAAGAGTCTAATTACTACTGAAAACATATTCCACTTGTGTGAATAATAGCAAGGCATCAGAACCACTCAACTCGTCTCACGAACGTTTTCGGCGTCACCTAACGATTCTCACACTACATGCAGGATGTACTTGCAAACACACCTGGAGGCTTCCTAACTAGCTCAAAATCTCAAAAAAACATCCTGAAACTTATGTAGCCAGCACTTACACTTAGACATGATGCCTTTACGACGGTGATGAATTTCGAAACTTACCAGCAATCTATGATTGATAGCAAAATGGTTTCCTCGTGTACTGCATACAACTTCATTCTGCAGGTAATACAAATGGTTGCTTAAACAACTCCAGATGTTTCAAGATCTCACCCAGACGGCTATCAGCAATACTTCTAGTGCCAGTATTACCTAGGAAGCAAAATTAACTGATTTATTGCCTTTAGGGTCCCATAATACCTACCACTGTCTAAACCACTTAATATCTTACAGGAACTCGCAAAAAAACCCATCTCTTATCCTTTAGAGGTTAAAGAATTTTATGAAACAAACAGATTTATTTTATCGATTTTTCCTGATTTTATAGAATTTTTTTTAAAACTTCAGAAAAAAATTCAAAAAATTCCAATTTGCCATCTCATACACTATTTGAACGTAAACAATACATTGATGGTATTCAATTGGTTTCTAGAGCAAACCTTTCTCGATTCCAGCAAGGATATGCATGTTGGTTCTTATATGCAGGTCAAAATTTCAAATGTAGGACTATCATTTGCAAACTAGAGCTGCTAGATGCAATCATGTTGAGTATACCAGCAACACGGTAAACAATTCTGACTAATGTGTTGCTCGAACGGTAGTTATTTGTCATTTGAATGGGTTCCACATACATGTACACCTCAATGAAGATTATATGGTTTCTTCTGATTGTCATGTCCCTTCCAGCAAACATCACAATACGTTGTGGGCCTCTCTGGAAACTACCAGCGTACTTTTCTCGTCCCTCACGTCATAGTCGCTGCAAGACAAGAATGAGAAAGCTACTAAAGTGATATCGTTTTCTTCAAGGTTTTCTGATTATATGACTAAAACATGAGCATTTTAAGACGTATCAAGTGCTGATCGACTACTGCCTGAGCTGTAAGAGACCGTAGTTTTTGAGTTGGGACTTGTTGCATATGCACCTCTGGTTGTATGCAGGTTAGCATTGAAATGCAGGATTAGACGAAATTTGCGCCACTTTATTAAATTCCTTTCACTTTCCGTGAGAGCTGATTTCATGGCCTATAACATAATAATTAGCTAAAACAATTACAAAGCTATTGATTATTCAAGTTGTTAAGCTTAGGAGAGTGTGCACAATTTGAGCCTGGATCCATGGCTATAGAACTGTACGTCAGTTAATTAAACAATACCCGCCAAAACAACTTCACTGGCCACCGTAGAGCTTCTTAACTCGAACCATATACACATTTGACGACAACTTCAACAACAACATCATCAACAACAACAACATCAACAACAACAACAACAACATCAACAACAACATCAACAACAACAACATCAACAACAACAACATCAACAACAACAAGTTCAACAATAACAACTTCGTCATCGAAAAAGACTTCGTATCTCTTTCCGACGACGGCGACGAAGATCTTGTTATACCTTGGTGGGCTTCCGTTAGCACGGGGGGGTCTGAACCAACGTCGCCGTTCAAACTAGTTTACGAATAAAATTCAAAAATTAAGAAGAAAAACATAGGCAAAAGAATGCACGATAAAGTAAGAAAACAGTAGTCGTATTCCGCAAGCTCAATATCTCGACGTGACCAGACGAACTTCTTCGATATTGCTTACTGGTGTTCGCGACAGTTGTAGATCTTGCTCCTGCTGAGTAGGTGTGTGTCTCTTCCATACTTGGATAAGTTTATCCTTATTTTTGCATTGATATCTAACTCAAAAACTTGCATACGCCTTAGAGAATATCAAGTGTTTGTAAAGCCTTCGCTCTCGATACCATGCAGTCTGAGAAAGCCAACAACGGCAAAAAATTCAGTATCTGGAGAGAATGCGGGGAGGTAGTTGGATGAGTATTTTAATTTTTCAAGAACATGCATTAGTATGTATCAATCGTCTGTAAAACTTACTTATAACCTTTTTGTTTTTTTTATCTATAAATGTGCATTGGTATCTACCTGTAAAAAAAGATTGTAGAAGACTTTAAAAGCCGCCTACCGCCGTGAAATAAAAACATACCTTCAACTATTGTCGACTAAGAAAAAAACATCAAGAATTGATACCCGCAACCCACGGAAGTTACCCCTGGTCCCAGCCAAAATTTTGCCATTCTTCGGCGGGAAGAACGTAAAGAAAAGCGCTCCTTTCACTTGCTAAATCATACTCGGCTCGGATCGAATCACTTTTCATCAGAGAAAGCGCAAATGGTTTAGTGGTAAAATCCAACGTTGCCATCGTTGGGCCCCCGGTTCGATTCCGGGTTTGCGCAAATATTTTTGAACGTTGAAATGAAATAAAGAGCCACCATGTAGACTGCCCTTAATCAACTATACCAAACCTATATTGCTTATTCCGATACCCCTGTCCCCGTGGCAGGTGACGCTCGCTGAATCTCACGGTGCCCTTTACCTCGAACAAATTGTGAGCCACCGCTTGTTTACCGCTAACAAAAAGTGATCACCTAAGTGACTAGAATACAGTGCCACCGCTTTCGTTGATTGCCACAGGTTTTGAAAATTCCGTCCTCTTTTGCTGGAGGATGTTTATTAGTTATTGACTAAAAAGGAAACCCCACCCCCATCGGGGTAGCGGCACAATGAGATGGAGATCGATGCGTCGCTGCACGCAGGGACGGGTGAATCTGTTGAGAGGGTATATAAATTAAACGCAGGCTGGAGGAGACTAAATCTGGGCGCCGTGGGCAAACGCCCACAACAAGTACCCGTTTAAGAAAGTGATGATGATCCAGGTGAGCACCAGCCCCACCCGCAAGAAGGTGCCGTTTTCGAAGGTGTACTTTTTCGCTCCCTCCAGCGACAGCTGGAGAAGCGGCTGGGTGTCTGAGGCGGCCGAGGTATCGATGACGGTCATGTACTTCTTCGAGCAAGTGAAGTAGATGAGCGGGGCCGACACGATGGGCAAGATGAACAGCAACACCACCTGGGACGAGTTCATCACCTTGGCGACGCCCTCGCGGCCCAAGGTGCCGATGACGATGACGACGGGGATGATGGCCAAGGTGCGGGTGATGATGCGCCGCACCCACGGCTTCACCAGCCAGTTGATGAACCCTTCGGAGATGATCTGCCCCAGCATCGTGCACACAATCCCCGCCAGCTGGCCGGCAAACAACATCAGGATGGCAAATAAGAGCCCCGCCCCAGGCAGGATGTAGTACAGCAACATGTGGTAGATCAGCAACAAGTCGGCGTCCTCGGCGTCGGGCTTGCCGTAAAGGGTGCACCCGGCGACGATCAAGATTGCCAGGTTGACGAACACGGCGATGATGAAAAGCGAGAGCACGAGCTCGGTGTACGAGTAGTTGAGGCAGTAGTTGATGGCGCGGAACAGCGGCTTGTACTTGCTGGTCAAGGTGGTGCCGTCGGAGAACGAGCGGAACTTGGACGCGGTCACCGGCAACGAGTCCGGCTGGTGGTCGTCGTCATCTTCGGTGGCGAGGTCGGCCTCGTCAATAATGCCGTGCTGGACGTCATAGTCCTTCAAACGGGGCTGGACGAGCGCGGAGCCCAAGTAGAGCGAGTGAGGCATCACCGTCAGCCCAACAATGCCGCAACTGAGGAAAAGCGCGTCGCGTTCGACGAAGATCTGGCGGTCTAAGGGGAGGAAGCCCCGCACAATCTCTTTGAAACTGCCGGGAGCGAAATCACAGTAGTATAACTCGGCGACAAAACACACACAGGTACCCAACACCAATACTGACACAAGCTGTTCGAAGATACGGGTCTGTTTCATCAGCCCGTCCTTGTGGTAGGCCATAAGTACCACAAGGACGTCCAAAACCGTCACCAACACCCCGAGCAAAAGCGGGATGCCAAACAAGATTTCTAAGGCGATAGCAGTGCCGACGACCTCGGCGAGGTCAGTAGCGATGATGGCAAGCTCGGCAAACACGTACATCGGCAAGTTGGCCCAGTAGGGCAAATGCAACCGGCACATCTCCGCCAAGTCGAGACCGGTGACCGTACCCAACTTGATACACAAACACTGTAAGAAAACGGCGAAAATGTTCAGCATGGCGATCATAAACAACAACTTATACTGATACATCGCCCCCAGCAGCACCAGGGTCAGGTAGTTGCCCGGGTCCATGTAGGCGACCAGCACGAGCACCCCGGGCCCGATGAAGGTGAGGTACTTTTTGAGCACGGCTAGTAGCAGCGTTGGGGACAGCGACGGTGCCAAAGCCATGTTGTGGAGGGTAACGGGAAGAGTGTTAGTTTCTCCGGGGTAGGTATCGGGATTGCGACAAAGGTGGGTGTATATTTGTGTGCAGGACAAACACGCGCATTATCGGTGACACATCGCCTAGCACTACCCGGAGAAACCCGGGACCCCCTCCGGTAGCGGGCACCTTTCAGACTACGGAGAATCAGTTTGTGATTCCATTCCATATTTTGAGGTCTTAGTGGTGAGTGTAGGTGTCGTTTTATGGGCTTATTCCTTGATCCTTCCCGTGGCGCCACTTTGTGGCGAGTGGGCTGCCCCCGGCGACGCCGTTTCCTTTTTCTGATAAGTGAGGGAGTTTTTGGTATATAGATGGTCCAAGCAACTCAGCAAGGCCATCAAAGTAAAAATAAGGTAATCGGAGTGATGGCTGAAACCATCTGATCTTGACTAGCTAGAGTTAGGAGTGTGGGGTTTGGTGGCTAAAGGCCGATGCTCGGGGTTGTTAAACTGTCGGTGTATGGCTGTGAGGCGATAAGCTACCAGTAGTGGTTATTAGGTACGGTTAGGTAAGCGCGCTCGGATCAACGGATGTCTTCGCCTACTCCGAAATAGGCCTTCTCTCCCCATCATCAAACCATGACGCATTTCATATATCATCTCCATCGATAATCTGATCAGATGGCCACTACTATTTTTTTTTTTTTTTTGAGGAAAATTCATCTTTTATTTATATTTTCTTGACTTGATTTGTGTATGGTTTGCTTGCTTGACTGCTAGCTACTTGTCGATGATTGGTCCCATCAACCGTAGCCTTCAATTTCTCTCTAATTTGAATCTAAGAAATCAAATGATAGTCGTAGCATCATCATCTCTCGACTCTAACTAGTCAATTCAAATTTGCTACTGTTTCATAGTTTGTTTCACAACTCTTGGTTTCATGGTCTCATTTACCAACACCAGTACCAGGGTCGCACTCATGCTACTACCGACGCGGTTTGGCCATGGTCGCCACGCCTCCGCCACACGGTTTATCCGACTTTTAACCACTGATGCCGTGCCTGCCTTCGCCACCTATCGCCATTGGTTCCCCAAAGACACCACTACCCTCGCCCAGATGGAGCTGTACGCCCGCCTCGCCGGCGGCGAAGACAAACACACCGTGCAAGTGGGCGTGGTCTACGACTCGCCGCAGTGCCAGCAGCTTCTGAAGATGGTCCCCGTGCTCTTGGCTGACCCGCTCGCCGCTGGCTCGCGCCGGTGGTTCGAAACGGTGGCTACCAGAGACCATACCCAGAACCACACTTTCATCTATAATACCGCCCAGCTGCCGGTACTCCTGGCCAACCCTGATCTGGCCGAAGCGTCCGAGTCACTGGACTCTGTCCACGCTGTGTTTAGACGGCTGCCGGACCAACCGGAGGATAATAGCGGCGCCGAGGTGTTTATGGTCCCGTCGCCGATTCTCTCGTCCGTGTACCGAACCCGGTGGCCCGATGAGCCTCCGGCTACTACCGAAGCTAACAATATCAGTCTTACCGAGATTAATAACGTCGACGCCGCCGATCTTACCAAATTTGACTATTTGATCCGCGTCACTCGCCAGTTCACTCCCCGGCCCCTCCCGCCTCAGCTCGCTCAGAGAGTGTTGTTGACGGTTGTCGATAATGCTGAATTTACACCGCCGCTGATTGAGCTGACTCCAGCAGTGTGGGACCCGCTGAGCGATCAGCACGTCGTCAAGATCAATTCGCAGTTGGCGTACGATGGCATCGAAGACTACTATATCCAGGGACCTAAAGCCGGCCACCAGTTCGCTGACGCTACCAGAATGTCCAACTTGTACCAGTTATTGAAAGCAGTGGGGTGGTTCCTGAGGACTGAAGTGTTACGTGGCTGGCTCCTCGAGGAAATCACTAAAGGGGTTAGTGGCCAACAAACCACCGTCGACGAGCTCGATACCCTTCTGGCAAAGCTTTCCCGTGAAGATGTGGCTAAATTCTCGGAGGGAGTCCACCATGAGCTCCAGTACGAGTTTGCCCCTGCCACCACCAAGTTCTTCAATAAACAATTGCTGTGGTGGCGCTTATACTACAAGAACGACAACGTCGAGTACGACCTCAAGGACTTCTTCCAGGAACACTTTATGCCGAAGCTGATTGAGCACTACAACTACATGAGGGGCCACATTGCCCTGGCGATGCAAAACCAACCTTACGGGGAATATCATCCGGTGGCGGCGGAAAACCCGTTAGCCGAGCTCAAATCGGATTTGCTCCAGAACCAGATCGCCGACGAAGTACAGCCGCAAGTGTACCGCATCCTTAGCCGGGCGTTTATCCAGTACCAGCTCCCGATTACCGTGTTGGCGATTGCTGGCTATTTATACACTGGTCTCTCTGCCAACGCGCTGGTGGCGATTGGTCTCCTCGGGTGGGTTGTTGGCTTTAATCACGTGTCACGGGATTGGCTTAAGTTTAGTCGCCAGTGGCTTGATCAGCTCTTTGAGCGGGTAAGAGTCACCGCCGGTCGCGACTGTGTCGACCACGGCCTCTTAGAGGAAGTGAAGGACTGCTACCAACAAGAAGTGGCTATGAGAGATGCTAAACAATCGGTATTATCTGAGATCTCCAACTTGAAGCCATAATAATACAGACAAAAGAAGTATCATGAATTAGCTATGTAGATATGATGTGTGGTATGAGAGTGGCATGGGGTCATTAGTCGTTACAACGAAGGGGGCGGCGATTCTTTCCGCTTCTTGAGGTTGGCTTCCATCCGCTCAAACTCCTTCAACGCAATCTCCTCCTCCGGGTCCAAGATCTGCTCGACATTGTGCACTTCTTCAATGTAGTGTTTCAACATCAGCTCGATCCCGTTCCGCAACGTCACCTCCAGCTCGCCACAGCTCTTACAGGCGCCTTGTAATTTGACGAAGACGGTCCCGGTATCTTCGTCAAACCCTCTGTATTCAATATCGCCGCCGTCGTCCTGGATGGCGGGACGAATACGCGTCTCAAGCAACTCCTTAATCATCAGCACCACCTCGGAATCATATTCCGAGGCCGCGGCTTCGCGTTCGCCTTCTTCAAGCAAGTCTCTCAGCACTACCGGCTCCTTCTTTTGCGTCAAAAAGGTATCGACTAACTCCACCACTTCGGGGCGCAAGTGAGCCCAATTGACGTGGTCAAGTTTATTGACGGTCAAAAAGTCGGGGCCCAACATCACCAGCCGCACCCCCTCCAATTTGAAGAGCTGGCGGGCTAACGGCGAGTGGATGGCATCGTGGGATGACGTGAACTCAAACAGCTTATTTTCGAGGGGGACAATGGCACTATCGACAGCGACGAATTTGAGGGCATTGGGGTTCGGGGTGTTGAACGTCTGGAAAGTGACGGTTCTTCTGGGTATCACTCGCAAGGCACGCTTGAACATTGGTAAGTAATTGGTATCGGTATTGAGTGCGGCTCACTGAGGATGATATAGCTCCGCTCCGATGATGACAAACTCGGTCCACGTGATTCGCGGTCACGATCTGGGGTAGCTCCAACTTCGGCTCCGAGCATCGGACACTCCTATAAGAGCCGTAAACTCCGCTATGAGGGAGGTAATTGATGACTATGACTGTCCATGAAGCTGTATGAGTTAGTGGTCATTGGTTCCAGTTACTGGAATAATCATTTTGGTCCGCTTTTTTGCCATCCCATTATAGAATGCATCTTTAAGTCAAAATGTACGCCAGATGAAGGGCCAACAGTCGGCTAACCTTTTTGACGTAATCAGCGTATTTGTGGATTATTCTTCTCATGTAAATAGAAATCAGCCCTTTTCAAGTGTTTTAATCACTGCAGACTCTCTTGCTGTCGTATTCTATAATAAAGTAGTTTCTCGGCTTGCTTGTGAAGTGACGGAGATATCAGGAGAATGACTCGGAGAACACCAGTACCCGAGTCTCCGTTTTGGTCACACAGGCTGTGTTTTTCCAACTACACTATGATTCATATGGAAAGCACGATGATTAATCTCTGTTTTGCTCACTGCTGAGAATGTGGCGATGCGACGATTACATCGACTTGCTTGATCCTTCCCAACGGTCTTAAACCATCAACACACACACTGCAATCTACTCTGATAATCACTATTTACATACACTCTTATGGCACAGCACCAGGTTGCGTACACTCGCTGCGTTTACTCGAGTACTAAAACGTCTAGACCCGTAAGTTGTGGGTTCCATACGACTCCAGTAAGACTTGCGTCGCCGTACACGGTGTCGTCGGTATCGGGTGCATTTATGTGAGCAGCACGATGACAGCCGGTTGAGGGACAAAGCGGCAGCAGACATACCGTACCATACACCGGCATTGCCGGTCGGCGGCGCCAGGCACCGCGGCCTTTCAAAGTATGGTACCATAACGTACGTACGGTACTGTAACTCAAGCAGGTAATTCCTTAAGGAGTTTGCTGTTTGGATTCCCGCTTACATTCCCCAATAAATTTGCCCCAAGTTGGGTTCCCATATATTTTTCTTGCCTGATTCCTATTAGGGCATAATTACACACCCTTCTCTCCCCTAAAAGATCGATCGCGATATTTAGGTAAATTTAACCGAAAATTTATAGGTCGTAACAGATAGTGAATTGAAAAGGTTTAACAGTGTGTGAAGCTTTGTAAAATAGTCTGTGATGTGTTGTGTTGACGATATCGGCAGCGGCGACCACCAGGGTCGGGTCGCCTTCGGTGGCATGACGTCAACGGGGGATGAGCACCTCACCGAAGTAAACAACGTGAAATTTTCAGTGGTAAGCGGAGAAAATATTTGAAATAACCACGATAAATGAACCAAATTAAAGCCACTAACAATATCAAAATGAGCCGTAACACCAACTAGTAAAACATAACTGTCTCAGCTAACTTTGTTCACTACTGATTCTGTCGACGCGAATAGCCGCGGCGCGGTTCGTTTACGTTTCCACAGGGGCTAGCGGTGACTAAGGGCCTCAGTGCATAGCAAGGGTGACGCGATCTTGGGATACGAAAATAAATCTAACCGTTCTATTAAACCTAAACAAACATAGAAAGCAAACCAATGAGCATGGCCATCCAGGGGGTGGCCAACGCGGCGGCGTCGTCGCCCTTCGAACTCGACGCGGCCGTCGTCGACGCTCCCGAGGTCGACTTCGCCAGGCTGTCCCGCGCCAGCAGGTCGCCGCCCGAGCCCGAACCAGTAGCGGCCGCCGCCGACGAGCCGTTCTTGCCGTCGGTGACCATGTCCAAAATCAACCCGGTGTCGTTCATCGCCTTGTTGCCCTTGGCGAGGAGGTCGCGGTACCAGGTCACCGTCAACAGGCCCTGAGGGTAGGCGACAGCAGCAGCAGTAGCTTCGGCGTAGGAAGCCAACGTCGACAACGTCACCGCCAGCTCGATAACCAGGGCGCTGGGGAGGGTGCCGTCGACCTCGTGGATGTCCAGGTCGTTGGTGTATTTCACTTTACCGATCGAGATCTGGTAGTCCTCCAAGTCGTAGACCAAGTAGGCGTGGCGGAGCACCGAGTCGCCGACGATGGCGAGGTCGTTCAGCGACGGCAAGATCCCGGTGAAGATGCACTTGCCCTCGATGTCCAGCGACGGGATCACGAGCTCTTCAAGGGGCACTTCGATGTTGGCGCCGTTAAAGCCAAAAGTAAACGTCAGCAGGTCGTCTTTAGGACACTCAATGTACGACAACCCGTTGGGCTGAGTCCAGCCGCCGACGATCAGCAACGCTCTTTGGAAAAGCGGTTTGGGGAGGTAAGTGTTGGTGGAGCCGGAGTCCAACATCGCCACGTACTTGTTGTCAGTAATCACATCCGCTTCCAGGTCGCCCTTGAACGTGAGCTTAGTGAATTCGAGCGACACCTCGATGGGCTTGTCGCTCAACTGGGAGTAGATGTTGACGAGGGGCACCGTCGTCAACTCGCCGTCGATCTTGGCGGTGTCGATCGCGCCGAAAAGCACCAGGCCCAGGTCGGCGTTAATGTTGTTGAGGTATAACGAGTACAAGTTCTTCTTGATGAGGCCGTCGTCCTTCAATCTTTGCGGCAAGTTGGGGTAGATAAAGTCCGACTTGATCAGAGCGACTTTACCGGAGAAACCGATGCCAAGCACCCCGTACGGCGACGACGTCTTGTTGGCGAGGGCGATGACGTAGTCGTTGATGACGTAGTCGCCAATCTGCACCGTGTCCTGGACGTAGTTGCCACTGACACTGGTGTCATCCATGTAGCTGAACGAGAACCCAGGCAACGAGTCGTTGCGCTTGAACGAGGTCAGCTGCTGAGTGTCAAACTGGCCGTAAACCACACACTGGTTCCCCTGGCCGGGCGCCTGACAGTCGGCGTTTTTGTCGACGACCCAAAAGTCCAGCGACCCAGTGTCGAGCAACACCAGCACCTGCTGGCGGGACAGCCCGAGGTAGAGCTGGGCGAGGTACCAGTGGCCTTGGTTGCCAATATTGACCGCTTGCGGTTCACGGCGGGCCAAGTCCCGGCGCTGGAGCGCTCCCAGCGACGACTTCTCGAGGACGTCGAAGTCGACCTTGACGAAGTCGGCGGCAACGGCAGTGGCGGCTAAAGCGAGCGATACGGGCGCGGACCACTTCATTGACGTGAACGAGCTGAAAACGCAAAAACTGGCGGCGGGGGTGGGGATGTTATAGGCGACGGCATAATGCCCAAACTCAAATAATGCCCGAGACCCCTCCTGGCGGCTGCGGCTGCCCTGCAGGCTCGAATTCGCGACGTGCAGTATTTCCCCATGCACCTTCGCCCACTATGTACCGGAGCTACGCCACCTGGGGGGCCACCGGCGCCTGGAACACCTGGGGGGCGTGCTTGTTGACTGTAAGCACGTAATTAAGGCAAGGCGGGGTCGCTGTTTACAGTAAACTCACGTAGCATTCTACCTGTGTATGTTGCTGTTGTTTGTAAGGCTTCGAAACTGGTTTTGTCATGACAACCAGGTAAGTGACGGGCTAAAATTTTCTCGCCTTCGTCCGTTTCGGAAGGGGCAACTGAAAGCGATGGCGCGAGCCCGATCGATTATTTGGTGGGTGCTCACAGATTAGGAAAAAACCACAATACGCCAACTCTTTGTTCTCAGTAGGGGGCGAATGCCAAAACCCACTAAGGTTTGAGGTAAAGTTTGAGGTGGTAAGGTTTGACGGCGTGTGTGGTGGCACTAAAATCTATATTTAGCCTGATACGAGTCACCGCCGCCAGACGAAAGCGGCTGGCACCTCTGCGATAACTAAACACTGATAATAGCTATTCGTTACGCAGACACAGACAGAGGTCAGAAAAGCAATGGTGGCTTCTCCTATATTGGCTACAGTCCCATTACGCCTTCGGCTGCCTTAAGGTACGTGTCCCGCTGTGCCCGCGGGCGCTTACGGCATTTTGCCTCGATTTCGCGTCTGGCCATGGGACGATGCCTGGTTACCACCACTCGATGGGCCGATGCGCATTATTTTTCGTTTTCGATTACTGTGTGGGCGTCTAGCCTCCACAAATATAATATATCTCTATATTAGTGTGCTATGTACAGGGCTCGTGTCCGGTCTGCCAAAGAAAACAAACCACCATTGCATCAATCGTCAGCGACAATCTCGGCCACAAGCCGGTTGGTGTGGAAAGGATTGTCAATATAGAGGTTGTGGCCGCCTTCCAGGATCCTCAGCAACAGCGTTTGCTTGTCGAAATTGGCGTGGTTGGCAATATAGTCCTTTAACTTCTCCCCCGCCTCTCCGTTCATAAAGTCGTACTGGCCGTAAACGAAATGGATATTGAACTTGTCCTTAGGATTACTTTCCAAGAAATCACGGTACTTGTCCATCAACGGCCACTTACTGACGATGGCGGGCGTCAATAGGTTCTTGATGTAAATGTCCGAATTAGTGCCTTTAGTCACCGAGTTGAACAAGTAGTCGATGATCATCAGCACCTCTTTATCGGTACCATACACCAAGTCGTTATGGTTCTCGTATACTGCCTCAGCGCCGCCGTGTTTGGCCACAAGCTTGTTGATCTTCGCGAGCTTCTTGTACCACATGTCGTAGTAGTAGCGGTAGCCCCAGGGCCCGCCAAGTTTAAGTACTCGGGGTAAGAACGGGGCCTTCCAGTACCACTGATCCATCGTAGCCGCTGAAAGGATGGGGAGACGGGTCAAAAACTTATACAGCGCCGGGTCCAACGACGGGGTCATTTCTTCGCCCAGAGTGATGGTATCATTGGTAACAGCATGGACGTGTCTTTCCACACCCACGGGAGACAAGAGGATCAAGTTGTTTAACCGGTGAGGGTAGCGGACGCCGTAACTGGCACTCCAGTAGCCCCCATAGGAGTGGCCCACCAAATAATCGATTTTCTCAAGCCCCACCAGTTCTCGCCACTTATCAAGGGCAGAAGTATAAAAGGTTTCAAGGTCTTTAACGATAGGAGTGAAATACTCCTGGTATTCCTTAAAATCTTGAGGGTTTACCAGGTACCCTTTAATAAGCTTATAGTACTTATTGTGGAGCTTAGACGTGTCCGTCGGCTGGTCAGGGTCGTCAAGTTTGATGTCAACACACCTGTTAATGTTCCATCGGTTAAGATTTGGGTTATCCACTTTGGGGTTTGATGAAAGGCCAAAAGTGATGTTATCGAGAAAGTGCACCGTATAGTTATGTTTGCGGCCTCGGAAGCGGTTGATCAACTGAAAATTACGAGCAAAACAACCGAGGGAAGCCCCATACCCATGGACAAACACCACATGTTTTGTCGGGGCGCCCGGAGTGTTCTCGATGGTGAAATTAATCTCATTAATCCACTCACCATTGCCAATATCGACCTGGGCCTGGCCCCGTTTAATACCATCGTTTTCCGGATTGGTGGGAGGAAGCATAAACTTAACAAGCTTGTCTTGGATCACTTGCAATCGCTGGGGCTGGAGCAGTTTGAGCCAGCGGTCGAAGGCGAGCTTCAAAGGTAGTTGCTTCACCAACGAGCGGGGGGGCTTATAAGTGGCGGGTAAAGTGAACCCTTTCCATCTCACAAGGGTTGGTCTCATGGTTTAGCCTCGTTAGGGTGATGGCGGAGCGGGAAAGCGGGTCTCGGAGTTGGCTGTGAGATGGACACTAAACGGTTCCCGGTTATTAGCCACGGTTATGCGCATCCGGGCCGTTATCGCCCTAGGGGTACCCGATGAGACAAACAATGAAGTTTTTGGTCCCATTATGAAGAGATTTGCTACGGAATTGAATTGGGGTGTTATTGGGGGTATTGTTGGTGTGCTGGTGTACGGATTATGGGTAAATATAGCTAAAATTTGGTGTTAGCCGTGCCGCACTAGCCCCGCACACTCGCCCCCGCTTCCGATGGGCTTCGGATAATTTATGTGACATGACGGGCATATACATTAAACGGTGGACGTCACCGTTGACGTACAGGTTTCAATACCCGCTTCGGTTTACACAGTGTACAATTATTGGCATTTTGATGAATTTAGAATTCATTTATTGGCACTATCAAGGGTGTATTTGGAGTGCTCTCTCGCAAGGCTTTAACCTAGCGATGCATGCACCCAGCACATTAAAGTTGAAGAAGTAAACCCAGTCAAAAAAAAAATGCTCAATTTTTAACCTATAAAAATCACTATCGACTAAAACGTTGAGTAGCGGGAGATGCGGATCATTTCAATGATAGGGAGAGACACTAACCCGACCACTACCGCGAGCACCAGCTTCCACCCCCCGTACTCGTACACGGGGTAGAACGTGTCCATCGCCCACTTGGTGCCGTGGTAAGCGAAAATGCCCATATTGATAACAAGTTTGGTAAATAACCACGCAAGCACCACGTTAAGAGCGGTGATGATCACCGCTGCGTACACCAGCGACCGTCTTGAAGGAGCCTCTTGCGACCGAATAAGCACGCCAACGTGTTCTTTTAACACGAGACCAACTACCGAGGTAGTACTGGCACCATTGATGAACTGAAATTGTTGTTGGAGCAATTGGAGGTAGTGGTGGACGTAGCGTTCATCGTTCTCAATGGCGTTAATGAAGCACCCCACGTCTAAGGGAGACGTCAATTGCTTAAGGATATGAGTTACCACTGGCGTGGGTAATTCGTATAATGGCATTAATCACTATTACAAAGAGGGAGCAGGATCTTAGCATTATTTAGTAGGTGTTATCATTGCTCTGGTGGTGGTTGTACTTGCCTCGTCATAGTGGTCTGCCCCAGTCTCCTCAGTATTGCACCATTTCAATAGCAACATGACCCAGGCTCGAAAGTTGGGTAGGCTCTATCAAGCAATTGCTTGGATACCATAAATTTTCTGGATTTGATGTAGGCCTTAAGTTGCAATCGCTCCGTACACGTTTGGTTCGAATTTGGTAAATTTTGACAATATTGACAAACAACATCTCTCTTGAAACAAAACATCGACATATTATAAAACATCAACTTCAATTGATTTAATCTACACATAAATTACTCTTGTTATTGAGTCGTTTACTTCATCTCATCTTAACGTTTATTATGGTTTTATGCAGTTTCAGACCCGGGCGGCGACCTTAGGTTCCCACGCGTGGCACTTGGGCTTGGCGGTGTTGTAGGCAACATAGGCACCAGGGGTGTTCGTCTTGTTGTCCTTGTGCTTGTTGGGCAACGGGTACGCCCGCGTGGCCTTTTCGCTGCCTTCGACCTGGTTGGGCGGGGTGTTGGTCCCATACCCTAACCAGTAATGCCAGCCGGGCTCGACCTTGGAAATGTCGACGCCCCACTCGTTGTATTCAACCCATCTTGATCTCAAGAAGATTTCCGTGCGCTCGTCGGTTTCGTAGAACTTGTTGCCGAAGTCGTCGACACCGCGGAGGACACCCGCGGGCTTGGTGTCGTTGTGGACCTGGATCTGCCACCCCGCTCTTCTCAAGCCGGACTGGTACACGTTGCGTAAGGTTCTCCAGAGAGAGGTCGACATGGCTTACTAGTAAGGGCGTTTATTTGAAAAAACTCTTATTGGTGCGACCCTGGTGCCGAGCCCTGCGCACTCGCACCGACTACTACTACGACCAACTACTGAGTATACTCAAGCCGCACTACAATCCTCTACAACCACTGTGATTATTCGTTGTCATTAAGCTTTAAGTCTAGTCGAGGGAGGCCCGCGATCCCGCCTTCATCTTCTCAATGCGTGCCTTCAACTGCAGCGTAACCTCAGCCGCCCGCCGCCACAGGTCATCGTTGGCCCCCATGTTCAGGAAATCGGCCCGTGGGTAGGCCGCTGGCGTCGGCAGTGATTCCGTCGTCGGCAACGAGCCAATCAGTAGTCTGTTGACGCGGTTGCTTAAGTCGCCCAGCACCACCCGTGGCGGTCGCAGGTGACGCACATTGGCTGCTGCTGCTCCTGCTGGCAGGTGGCGTCCCAGGCGGCTTTCCAATTGTTTCTCAAGTTCAGCAATCTTGTAGCGAGCGTCTTCAAGCTCCAGGTTCACCCTCATCACTTGGGTTTCCCGCTGCTTGGCAGATAAAGTGACGCGGGTCACCTCGGCCTTTTGGTCTTCTAAAAGTACCCGCCAGTGGTCCCTCTCATTAGTGATGGTGTGCACTTGGTTTTGGAGCTCACTCACCTCACGATTACGAGCTTTCAATTGCTCTCTCATCGTCTCACACTCGGCTCGAAGACGTATAAGCTCTTCTCTCTCGGCCAGATTGATTGATTGGACGGTGGGTTGAGGCAGTGTGGCGTAGCCTCGTTGTTGTTGTGGCAGGGGATCACGCGAGGTGGCAGTGGTGGTGTGTGCAAGTTGAGGGGCTAATAACGGTCGGCGAGTGAGTCCCAGACCAGTACCACCAGTCAGATTACGCTTGGTGGCATCATTAAGGCGTTTCGCCGGCAGCGACGCCTGTCGTTTCGCTGGTAGCGCCAGCTGAGGACGTTGAGCCGTTCTAGCGTCAACCGACGCTCGTGAAGCAGCCACCGGTACCGGTGCTCGCGGAGCAGGAGCCGTGTTGGTCTTTTGGGAATTGACTTCCACCGATTCGTAAAATGCATGCACTTTTTCAACTCTCTTCTTATCCACTTTAGCCAAAAACATGGCGAGTTCTCGTTCGCCAGTGATCTTCATCAACGTACCAATCATCTCCGAGGCGGCATCACGGATAGGTGCCTGAGAATCGTTAAGTAATTTAACCCCCACCTCCATTATGGCGTCAACCTCTTGTCTAGTAGGAGCAACTCTGGTAGTGCTTAAACACCGCTGGAGGTAGTTAGTGGAGGCAATTTTCACCTGAGGGGTCTTGTTTTGCATCCCTTGTAAGGTATCGTCAAGGATAGTGGCCAACAGCGTCACCGCAAAAACCGCGTCTAAGGCGTCAGCTAATGCCTGAGCCACCAGCGGCTTCTTCTCTTTAGTCCGGTCCACCATCGGACCCACCACCATCGAGGCGTAGCTGAAATCCTTCAGCAACCCCTTGACAATACACTCGATACACTGAGCGGCTAATTGCACCACTTGGATATTAGCATCCTTCATACACCGGGCCAATAATCGAAGCACCGGAGCGTAGTCACCAGGAGCCATTCTCGCAGCTTTTTGTAACACCGCCAACACCGCTTCAAGTGCTTCTTTGCGTTCTTTCCATTTAGAGGAGCCTAGCTCAGTTTCGAAATTTGCGGGTATCTTCAGAAGCACTTCGATCGGCTCGATGTGGGCGTAAGGGTCAAACTCCTGCTCATCAGGTTCAGCCATGTCGACATCGCTATCCTGAGGTTGTTGCCCTTCTTGTTGTAAATGCTCAATCTGTTGTTGTTGACTGCGAGTAAACCGCTTCTGCTCAGGTTTACCCTGAACGTTATCAAACTCCTTTTGGAGGTCCTTTTGCTGTACTGGTTTAAGCTGGTCAAATATTTGAGCCGGTAACGCAGGCCCCATCCACCGGTACATCGCCACCGCCAATTTGGTCGCCTCTGCCCGTACGGTACGATCAGGGTGAGCGAATAACTTTGGGAGTATCGGAAGTAAAAGTTTCAGCAGGATCACGGCAAGGCCAAAGCTATCGACCACCTGGGTGATGGCATTAACGTTACCCAGAGCTTTCTTCGCAAGTCGTGCCAGGGTAGCAGTGACGAGATCCTCAAGCACGGAGTCATCTAATATCTCCACCATAAGCATCATCAGCTCTACTGCGGCTGCTTTAGTTCCCAGACGACTCAGAACGAACCCTTTATCGCTAATCACCGAAATCACTCCCCTCAGCTTTAACCGTGCCACTGCCTCCAGCGACGCCCCCTGGCGAAGATAAGCAACAAAGGCGTTATAGGCGGCTTCCTGGGCCATCACGTTGACGTCAGCAAGCCCCTTTTTGAAGATATCGGTGTCACTAACTAAGGTAAACACGGGGTCGTCATCCAGCCGCAGCACGTCGATTTTCGACGAAATCTCCTCAAACGCCGAGAGCCGTGCCTTCCAATGTTTCAGGGCAAGCCGCTCCTCAATAGGGCCGCTCAGAAAGTCCTCTTCCTCCTTGGGTGGTCCCGAGTCCATAGCGTCAGGCGTGGTCAAAACAAACGCGCGCGTTCGGCTACCTAAATGGCAGAGGATGTGGTTTCACGATGACCACCACTTACTGGTTTGGGTCAGGTGATACCAGTCAGAGAAAGGTATAAGTAAAACGTAAACAAACTTTTAGGCGATATTTCAAGTATTCTTTTTTTCATGATCGTACGGAGTTTCTATAATGCATCTACTTAGGAATCTCGTCAAGAGGCTTCAACTTGAACCCCCAGGCCTCTTCGCCGGGGCGGTCCTCGTAGTACTTCTTGATGTCGACGCCGTGGTACGGGTGGTAGGCCCAGTTGAACCACGGGATCACGGCGAGGTTGAGGAACGAGTACTGGGAGAACTTGTTGGCGGTGTCCTGTAACCGGTCGTCCAACGTCGACTTGTCGGTGTGGTAAGGGTTTCTCCCTTCCGACAACAACTTCTTGATTTCGTAACGGTCCTTGGCCACTTCCCTCAGGTTTTCCGACCACCCGAGGAACCGCTTCGACGACCGCACGTAGGCGAGGTAGAAGCCGCCGAAGAAGCCCAACAAGGTGGTGGCTCTCAACGCGCCGGCGGGCACTTTGGCGGGGGCCTTGAACAGACCGGCAGCGGGCTCCAACTTTTCCCAGGCGACCAACGCCGCCGGCATCGCCACCGCCAGCGCCGCCCACACCCCGAAGTCCAGGGGACGCATGTACGACACCACGCGCTTGAAGTGGGGGTCGCTGTCGATCAATTCGTAGTCACTGACGGCGGGAGGCGCTCTCACGGGCTGGTTGTGACTGGAGTAGGACATGGCCCAGATGGTACGTGCTTATTTCGCAGCTTCTTATTGGTAAAAAATTGTCAGCGGATTTTCGCGCGACACCCACGAAATTCGTCCGGGGAATCAGTTGAGCGTAGGAAATCAAATGAAATATATACTACTAAAAAAGAGGTGTAGTTTCATCTGAAGAATACATCGTCAGGTTTACCTTTGGTGGTTGTTTAAAAAAAAAAAAAAATTGTTGATCAGGGAAACTCATTGTTTGTTCTCACAACCTCAAAGACGGCAGTATCACTAGTAAATACCATAGTTAGAGCTCTTCCAGTAAGTTTAGGAAGAGTTGTGGATGATCTAAAGGTTCCCGTTAGTGCTATCTGAAGATTTTTTTGATTAATTAAAAAGTTTCAGGGACTTCTCTCAGTAAACTGGAATATTAGAATAGGGCAATAAACAGGTAGGAAAATCAACATCCCAGTCTCAAGACTGACGACGTAAACTTCAAATACGTTTCATTCCATAAATTGTAAAAGGTTAGTACTTAAATTCATTAGATCTATCAAATTAATTGCATCACACTGCAACAGTGTTATCATCATTCAAGTAGTCGCAGCTGAACCTCCACTATGAGCTATAGATTCAATGCATTATACATCAGCATATTAAACTAGTGCACCAACATTTGAAACAATCAGTTTCAAGCATCAATCATTCATGTTCAATATATTTTTAATTTAAATCTTACCACTCTCGGAGATTCACCTCTGATAATTCCTAGGCGCGATACCATGCCTACGCTTCCCGAGCTTCCCCCAGTGTACACACGCTACCTCAACGGTCTCCGCTACAACCGTGTCCCTGTGGTCAACTTCGTCATCGGCGGCGTGCTTGCCGTGTTCCTCACCAAGCTCACGTTCAAGTACAATGACCTCTACATGAAGCTGTCCCTCATCACCCTTATCGTCACCAATCTCGTGCTATTTGGAATTTCCGAGACTCTAGCCCAACTGCTAGTGCATTATAAGCCTACCAATCCCCATCTCCAGTGGCAGGTGGTCCAGGAAACCCAGGTAGACGACGATGTGCTTGTGGCGGAGGCGCGACCTCAGGGCGACGAAGTTGACGAATTTATCGAATATCTCGATGCCGAAGGCGATGGAGAGGTCACCCCGGGCCTCACCCCGATCCCTGATCTCACGTATTTCCTGTTCTCTCGGCTTGCGGGTTTTATGTGCTGGGGATTCATCCTCGCCTTTGCCCAGTGTATATGGTACCGGTTCCTCCAGATCTACCTGAAAGAGCCTAAGCTTATTGAAGTGATCCGCAAAGTGCTTACTGATCAATTGTGTTATTCGCCAGTGCTGCTTTTCTGTTTCTTTACCTACGGGACGATGATTCTTGAGCTGGGGACGTGGGACGACGCTAAGGATAAGCTTAAACGGGTGTATTTGTCTACGCTTGCCACTAATTATATGGTGTGGTTCCCGGTGCAATTTATTAATTTCCTAATTGTGCCACGAACTTATCAGGTGCCATTCTCGTCGCTGGTACTGGTACTTTGGAACTGCTTTTTAAGTCTTAAGAACCTGCGGTCGTGAGGCTGACACTAGTATGGAATTGGTGGCGTAGATCACGTGACCCGCACCCAGTGCGAATGATCACAACTCGCAAACCAAATCTCCACACCCCCCCGTGCCAGCCCCACTGAGAAACGCCTTCCCTGATGTGGAACTACTTGTTTGGGGGTAATGCCCAGCAGAAGAAGGACCGGCCCAAAAAGGCCATTGTCCAGCTCAGAGAGCAGATCCAGATCCTCCACAAGAAGCGCGCCCACCTCGAGCTGCAGATGGCCGACCAGGACGCCATTGCCCGCAAAAACATCACCCTGAACAAGACGGTGGCCAAAAACGCCTTGAAGCGGAAGAAGGGGTACGAGGCCCAGTTGGAGAAGTTGGAGAACCAGATACAGCTGTTGGAGAACCAGCTCAACACCATCGAGGGCGCCAACCTCAACCTCGAAACCATGCGGGCCATGAAGGAAGGGGCGGCGGCGATGAAGCAGATCCACGGCGAGTACAACGTCGACAAGGTCGAAGACACGATGGAGGAGATCCGCGAGCAGGTCGAGTTGGCGGACGAGATCTCGGAGGCGATCCTGCGCCCCGTCGGCGGCGAGTATATCGACGAGGACGAGTTGGACGAGGAGTTGGCGGAGTTGCAGCGCGAAGAGGCCGAGCGCGCGGCGCCGGCCAAGGCCGAGCCCGTCGCCAAAAAGCAACCCCCGGCGGCGTTGCCCCACTTCCCCGACGTCAACAAGGGGGAGCTCGTGCTGCCCGAGGCGGCCGAGGAGGACGACGAGGACGAGCGCGCGTTGCAGGAGTTGAAGGCGTCAATGGGACTTTAGCATACTGATAGATTTTAACACCTCCCCCCACTCACTCCCCTGGAGCCTTTGTGCCCCCTGATGAAGCTAATAAATGACTAAACGAGCGACATGGCATTGTACAAAGCATCACGATGAAGAATAGGGGTACCGTGACTGTCACGAGAATATGGCTGTTTTTCTTCGTGCCTTTTCTTTGTTGTTTCTTGGACACTCCCGCCTTTCGTGTTATCCGAGGGGTCCAAGACTTCGCGAGGCGCAGCGGTTAATCTTTTGACACCCTCTCCTCGCTGCTCACACTAAGCAAATAAGACTAATAAGACATATACCTTAATCACGTGAAGAACCAAGCTTTTTCTTATTTTGACATTCAACCAAGAAAAAAAAATTAGTTTGTCACACCCAGTTAGTCAATTGCCTTTGTTTGCCCGCGTGCATTTGCTGAGGCGGGCCTCTTGTCTAATATGGCCGTGCCATAGTCAAAGGGTATTGGTAATACTCTTCATTGCCTCTTAGCTGAGCTTGCACTTGTAAATATATCAGTAATCGCGCTAGTAATGTACATACTACATATTATGAGGCTCACGGCTATTTAGCCGTAGATCGGTGCGATAAGGATCGATCGTCTTTGTGTGACGGGGGGAAAATACTTGTGGTTATTGTGGAACTGGGAACTGGGTAAAGGGGATTGTAAATGGGGGAGGAGGCAGTGTGTTAGTGCTGACAAAAAGCAGGCTGTGGTGGCGATGGTGGGAGTTTTCTCGGCACCCATGTGGTTCCGGGGCTCATGCCAAATAGTTATTCCGAAGTTCTTGGAATCGAGTATATAAACCACCGGTGACTCCTCGAGGTTTTTGTTCGCTCAGTTAAGAGACTTTAATACCTTACCAGATGAAGTTTATCGTGCCTGTTTTCGCCTTGATGGCTTCGTTCGCCGCCGCTACCGACCTGTCGGAAGCCACCGCCGTGTCTGCTGCGGAAGACGCGGTGTCGTCAGGGGTTGCCGCTGCTTCCGACGCCGAGTCCGCCGCGGTCTCGGCTGCTTCCGACGCTGAGTCGTCGGGGGCCGCCGCCGCTGAGTCCGTCGACTCCGCCATTGCCTCGGCCACTGACTCTGAAGCCGCTGACGAGTCGTCGACCGCTGACGCTGACGAGCTGTCGGCCGCGGAAGAAGTGCTGTCGGTCGCCGAATCCGCTGCTTCCGACGCTGCTTCCGCCAGTGCCTCAGCTGCTTCCGAAGCCGAATCTGCTGCTGGCTCCGCCGCCTCCGCTGCTTCGTCGGCCGCTGCTAGTGGTGCTGACGGTGCTAACAGCGCCGACTCCGAAGCCGGGGCCGTTACTTCCTGCGCCGCCGCTGGTGTCCTCGGTCTCGCCGCGTTGATGTTGCTTTAGATTAATCTAAATACACACTTGTGATTTACTAATAAAAAATAAAATCAACTCGGTTTAGTAGTAATTGATAATCATTTGTAAGGCTCAATTTATTAGTCAAAGTAGGGGTGCGGTGTTAGCCTTAGGGGTCGCAGCTGTCATTAGCCACATTAGCCTCCCTCATAATCGAAAGCATGTAGCGATGACGTCATCAGCAGAAATTTCTAGAACAAGAAAATCACGTGGCAACAGGCCTATCATTACTGACTTACGCTTTCATCCTTTATCAACTGAACTGCTGATTGATTCAATCCAATTCTTCACTCGAATTAATAACTATCAACTTCTCCTGACTTCACTCATCTTCATTTCCAAATTTGCAATTATATTTTAATTTTATAGACAAGTCCACACCTTCCGCACTGCCTAGTTTCGCAAAACTTTAAGTCCTCAATTAGTAATCGTGCCAAGCCAGGCCAAGCCATGAACACAATTGCTAAACCAGCCACCGTCCCTTAGTCACCTTAACCTCTCCATAAACAACCCAGGAACCTCCCTCACCAACCATGGTTCGATTCCCCGGTGGTTCGATTCCTTGCCACCGCAATTCCGCTCGCCTGATATTTTTCGCGGCCATCGCTCGTGTGCGCAGCGCCCGTTATCTCATCGGCGAAAAAGTCCATCTGCTTTCTCTATCACTCACACGGGGTATGCTTTCCCACACCACACAACGGGCGGTCCGAACGCTACGCACGCCGCTCCGCGTGCTTGCCACCTCGACCGCGCCCCCCCTGGTGGGGGGTCTGCTGGCACCTCCCGTGTCCCCCTTTCTCGAAGACCTCGCCCGCCGGCGGGCGCCGCGGGCGCCGGCCCGGGCGCTCGACTTGACGGAAACGCTGTTCCGGGGCATCGACGCCGCCGCCATCCCCCAGCTCAGCGCCCACGACCGTGAACAGCTGTGGCTGCTGAGCTACGACCCCGTGGTGCGCCTCCCTTACGCCCGCGACGTGCTGCACTTGGCGCTGTTGCTCGATGCCTTGATCCAGCTGAAGAACTTTGCCCGTGCCGAGCTGATCCTCCATCTGTTGCATTCGTTAGACACTCCCCAGGGGTTTGTTCATCACGTCAATCTGTATTTAGCCGGGTGGAGCGACGATGAAGCCGTGACGGTGAAAATGGTCGAGCAGTGGCTTGCCTCTGCTTTAGCCAAATACCCAGGTTTAGAGCTTAGCGACCGCACCCACGCCATCGTGTTGGCGAAATACGTGAGGGATAAGGTCGATTTTGACCCGTTTTTGGCCCGGTTCCCGCCGCATCAGCTTAAACTGATCTTTAGCAATATCGACATTTTGGGCATCGACGACTTGACGGTGGTGTTCGCTCTGGACCGCATTACCGATAAACACGTCCCCGAAGACCTCCGGGGGCTTATCGGTAGTGCTACTACACCTGCCACCGCTCAATCCGCTGGTGGCGAGTCGCTGTCGGAAGCGCTGTCGGAAGTGCCGGAATACTTCCGACTGGACGCCGCCAAAGCGCCGCTGGTACGTAAAGATCTCGACGAATTACGCGATGTCGGCCTGTTCGGCATCAAAGTCATCCGCCACACGTTGTTGGGGCTTAAGCAGGATGACGCTGAGCTCGAACTGTTGCTTAACGCCATCGAAACTGGCGTCGACGGCCTGGTGCTCACTCAGGGTAACTCGGTGGATTTTTTCCAGATCTACCGCCAATTGAAGACCCCAGAACAGCGACAGAAATTTAACGATGCCCTCAACGCATACAACCAGCACCGTCAGCAACAGCTTGAATTGCGGGGGCTTGACGGGGCTCGGGAAAAGTGGAAACACGCGTTCGAAGACATGCAGCGCCGCGGCACCATCAACATGTCCAAGGACATAAACCTGGAATTATTCAAGTGGTACCAGGCAATGTTGCCGCTGGTGGTGCACGAGGCCCAGCTCTGTCGCGATTTGATGGAGGGCAAAGTGGATATGGCTCTGCTCTCGGAGGAAGAACAACAGCAGATGGCCCACCGCGAGCACTACGCGCCTTACTTCGTGCTTGTGGCTCCGGAAAAGCTTTGTGTCATCACTATTTTGGAGCTTATCCGGTTGAACTCGACCGGTGGTGTTGCTGACGGCATGAGAGCGGCTCGGGCTTTGCTTTCCGTCGGTCGCCTGGTGGAGCTTGAGTATCGCCTGCAGAACTACTTAAAGGCCGAGCGGAAACACCTGAAGAAAGTACGGCTGAGCAAGCAGTGGCGCAAGCTCTTGCTGAACCTGACCCAGGCTCAAGACCCGCAACTGCTGCTGGAGTGGAGCGAAAACGTGTTGGGTAAGCTTGGTTCGGTGCTCACGCTGTACCTTATTCTGGTGGCTAAAGTCAACGTCAAGGCGAAGGACCCGGCCACTGGTAAGGTGATCAAAGCGTCGCAGCCAGTATTCCACCATACCTACCAACACTGCGGTGGCCAACGTGTTGGTGTGATCAAGATCCACCGCGAGGTGATGAAGCGGCTTGCCGGCGACGAGCTTTCCGCGTGTATCCAGCCGCAATTGCTTCCGATGTTGGTGCCGCCTAAACCGTGGACGCTGTATAGTGGTGGTGGCTTCCTCTTCACCAACTCGCAAGTTGTGAGAAATAAGGACTCACCAGAGACGTTGGCCTATTTGAAGGCGGCTCTGGACCAAGGAAAATTGACCCAAGTGTACCACGGGTTGAACGTATTGGGTGACACTGCCTGGACGATCAACAAGCGTCTTTTCGAAGTGGTCACTCATTACTGGAACACTGGTGAACTGTTTTCGCTGATTCCTCAGGTGGTAGTGGAACCTAAGCTTCCACCGAAGCCCCCCGTGGATGCTGAACCGCAAACTAAATTCGAATACGCTCGCGACGTTCGTGATATCCTCAACGAAGCCGCCGGGTTACGGTCGCAGCGGTGCGATACCAACTACAAATTAGAGATTGCGCGTGCTTTCATCGGCGAAAAGATGCATTTCCCCCACAACTTGGACTTCAGAGGCCGGGCGTACCCGTTGCTGCCTCACTTGAACCACTTGGGTAACGATCTTGTGAGATCGCTTTTCCTCTTCTGGGACGGGAAACAGTTGGGCGAACAGGGTCTCCGCTGGCTTAAGATTCACTTGGCCAACGTCTATGGGTTTGATAAGGCTCCTCTTGACGAAAGAGCGCAGTTTGGCGACAAGCACTTGGAGGATATCCGTGCTCTGGCTCGTGACCCGTTAGCTCCCGATGCCTGGTGGCGTAAAGCGGAAAAACCGTGGCAGGCGCTTCTGGTGTGCTTTGAGCTTGCCGAAGCCTACGAACTTGACGACCCCACTACCTACGTGCTGCACTTGCCTGTACACCAGGATGGGACCTGTAACGGGCTCCAACACTACGCCGCCCTCGGTGGTGACGTCGAAGGGGCCAAGCAAGTGAACTTGCTTCCCGCTGACCGGCCTCAGGACGTGTATAAGTTTGTGGCCAATTTGGTGCAAAAGCGGGTGGATGCCGATGCTGCTGCTGGTGTCGACGAAGCGGTGAAAGTGCAGAACTACGTCACGCGTAAGGTGGTGAAGCAAACGGTGATGACCAATGTGTACGGGGTGACGTTTGTCGGGGCGGTAGCGCAGATTCAGAAACAATTGATGGCTCTTGACTTCCCTAGGGAAGAAGCCAACCGGTTGCTGAAGTATTTGACCCAACAGGTGTTTGCACTGATCCGAGAGTTGTTTGAAGGTGCTCACCTCATCCAGGACTGGCTTGGAGAAGTGGCACGCCGCATCACCAAGCTGATTCGCGTCGACTACGAGGACACCGCCTCGGAAGACCCTGCCAAGCCCAACCACTTGCTGCTGGTGATCTGGACTACCCCCTTGGGCCTTCCCTGTGTCCAGCCGTACCGCGTCGCCAAAAACAAGACCATCAAGACCAACTTACAGGACATCACATTGGCAGACCCCTTTGGTGCCGGCCAAGTCGATCTGCGCAAACAGCAGACGGCGTTCCCGCCCAACTTTGTCCACTCGCTCGATGCCACCCACATGTTGCTCACGGCTAAAGCCTGTGGCGACCACGGACTCTCGTTTGCCGCCGTCCACGACTCGTATTGGACCCACGCCTGTGCCGTTGACACCATGAACCGCGAGATTCGAAGCCAGTTCATCAACCTTCACCTGGCCGATCTTGTCGCCCAATTGCGCGAGGAGTTCTGTAAGCGGTACAAGGGGTTCTTGCAGGTGGTTAACCTCCCCCTGGATCATGCGGTGGTGAAGCAGGTGAAGCAGATCCGCAAGCAGTGGGCAGCGAAGGCCGGACGCCCTGTGACTGTGGCCGACGAGGTGTACATGGAGCGTAAGCGCCAGAGCCTTTTGGAGCTGGAGGATCCCGAGGTGCGCCAAGTGGGGCGGCTGATGGTGACTACGGTGAGCGTCACCGAGGGCCTTCACCTTGAGGACGCGGCGGTGAAGACGGTGGGCACCAAGATCCTCGTGCCTCTTGTCTTCCCCGAGATCCCGGCCAAGGGCGACTTTGACCTTAACCAGGTGGCCCAGTCATCGTATTTCTTTTCTTAAACTAAAACTTGTACATAGGGATAACATTAAATGGGACGGATAGATTTTGGTATCGTGTAGAGCGGGGTAGCTGAGTGTATCTTGGAAGTGCAATGTTGTTGCGTTGTCGTAAGCATTAACACCGAGATTGTTTGAATAGAAGAGATAGATTCGTTCACCTTGATTGTCGTCATCCACAATGCAACTGGAGAAGTGGCAAACACAAAAAACCCACACTACAACGATAAATGATGCTTCCAACATATACATTACAAATTCGAAACACGGTGTTATTTGAAAATAATTGCAAGATTAGTGCAGCCACCCTTCGAAACACCACCCAGATAACACCTGCCGCGTCCACACCGCTGCCCGGCCTATTCTCCGCGCCTCTTTGCCCCCACCGAAC